TATGGTTTTATTACTCGTTTTGTTCTTATCTTTCTGTTCGCATGTGTAATGTTTGTGAAACATGCAAAATTATAAGTGCTCACAAATAATTTAATATTGCAAATAGTTAGAAGCGCATCCTCTTGTTCGTATGTGTAATGTTTGTGAAGTACAAAAGATTATAAGTACTCACACACAGTGGCGGATCTAGGAATTTCCCTCAATAGGGACAAAATATAAACTAAATAAATAAATAAAACCAATCATAACTACACTTTTTTTTTTTTTCATTACGATGAGCTTCAATAAAAAGTTATAAAATACAAATAAATATCTTTAAAAGACACAATTTCTATAAAAATAAAACAATTTTTCTACAATTGTCCTTGACTAGCTTTCCTGTTCTGAAAATATTGGATAATCATCTCATTGTCAATTGTATCAAATGCATCTTTCTCAATATAGATGACCAAGCAATCATTCATCCATTGATCTCTCATTCGATTGCATAACCAATTTTTCACAAGATTCATTGTAGAAAAAACCCTTTCAACAGTCGCAGTCAAACTGATAAAACCAATGCAACTTTCACAAGCTTATACACCAACGTATGCAAAATTTCTTTTTTAAACCAAACTAAATTCTTAACCAAATCACCAATTCCTTATAACTCAGCAAATTAATCATAAGAACGTATGTCAATAACATAAATCTCTGCCTGGTTCTTAAGTACCATTAACTCAAGTGTAGAAAAATCAAATAGATAAAACTGACCAAACCCATTCTTCCCTCTCTTCTCCTTTTCCTTTTCCTTTTCCTTTGCTTCTTCTTCCTTTCTTTTTTATGGGTTTTTCTCTTCTCTTCTTCATTTTTGACGAAAAAACCAATTTATATATAAAACAACTTCGTTGAATTATGAAACTGCCCCAAGATTCTTTTATTCTCACCATGAGCTCACCACATTAGCTTTCTGATGTAAAAAAGCCCAGATTTCTCCCCTCAGTTAAAGGCAAACCCAACAATTCTTATTCCTTTCATTTTCACTCCTAATAAAACTTTTAAAAACTAACAGATGCCCTTGCATAAAAATAAAAATCACAAAAAATATGTAATACAGTAAAACCTCTCTACAGTGATACTCTATATAGGAATAAACTCTACATAGTTATAAAAAATTATATTCCCAATTTGGGATAGTTATAAATAAGAATAAACTATACATTGTAATAAGTTGTAATTTTTCTAATTCCCGTCTTAAGGAAAGTTGTCTCCACATGGTAATAATTATCTGTATATTACAAAAAAAAATTATGGTATGTTAAATTTAAGGTTAAAGATGAAATAAAATATTTATCTGAAGTTGTTTGGGACAATAATTTATACTTTAGAGTTGTTACCACGTCTTTTAACTTGCAGGTACATTAGTCGCTAGCATGGACATTTTCTTATTAAAGCTATAGCTTCTCAAGCATGTTTAGAGCTTCTTGACATGAATCTTTTTGTATTTCTCTACTATCATCCTCAAAATTATTTCCTTTCTCTTCTTGTTTAATTGTGGAAATGATTTATTCTTTTATTAAAGCATACATGACTTGTTACTCATTTGGATGATTAAGGAAGACACTAATATTTATTCGATTAGTGTAGTGAAGTTGTAGAATCTGATCATTCAATTCTATAATAACTTTTTTATTCTCCTCATTCACTTTATTTGTAGCTTGTAATTTATCAACATCGGGGGTCCTAATTTTGTAATGCTTAAAACAATTGGCAATTGTCTGTGGCTTCACATCAGTTGTCATGCAGCAACTGCATTTACAATCATCAAGGACAATTATCTTTGTTGGTTTCAAAACACAATCTTCTATCTGTTTCAAAAGTAGGCAATTGAAGCGCTGAATTGAAACTATTATATTATTAAAAGATGAATTAAAATCCTAATATTGTACTACTAAAACATGAATTATGAAATAAGAAATTATTTTAACTGCGCCTTTATTAAGTTATAACCTCTTCATAATAATAAAATTAGTTAGTCCCACCATTATGACTATAGAGAGGTTTTACTGTATATATACTAGGATTAAAAATAGGGTTTTACAAAAATAAAATCCAAACTAATTGTGGGGCTGTTCCCAAAATCTCATAATTCTATAAGTATAAAATTTAAATAAATATAAGATGTGGACTTTTTTAAAAGTTGAGTGGGGACTATAGTCCCCATAAGTCATTAATTGGATCTGCCACTGCTCACACATAATTCAAAAAACGATCAATTTCATTAATAAATTGTTCAGTACAGGGGGGTTACGCAAAGAGAAAGCTAAGTTGTGGGACAAGTAGAGGAAAAAGCGATCACTGGTCGCCGTCCTTAGGCACTTTCGGTTCGACCTCGGTATCTCCAAGCTAGTCGCCGACTTCTTGGTCAACTATTGGGTCCTCTGAATGATCGTCTTCTAGATTAAGTTCCTAAGCAACCTTATTATCGGCTTTCGTCATAGAGGCAAGGATCCTTTGGTAATCATCCGAGAGTTCGGTAAGGTCCATAGTTGGGTTCTTTGGCTTAAGGGCGTAAATTGACTGGATCGACCAGTCAGTAGCCTTCCTCTTGATCTCCAGCTCTTGTCACTTCATCTCTATAGTTAGAGAAGTGATCCGCCCCTAGGACATTTCCAGGTTCGTTTCAAGAGCTTTCCTCTGCTTCTCGGTTGCTTCCCACAACCGAGCTCTCTTTTCTTCTACTCGTAGGGCTCGCTCAAAGTTCTCTCGCAGCTCCGCATCTTTCTCGCCAGCCTCCATGGTGAGTCTAGCCACTGTCCTTTAAAGCTGAGCGAGCTTTTCTCCCCTCTTCGCCAGCTTGGTCTTCTGGAATTCCACTATGTAGAAGGCAAAACTTCTCTCTAACATATATTGGTTCATTAGGAGAAAATTCTGGTCCATCTTTACCTTCGCAGTTGCCAAATCCTGTTTCAATGCCTCATTCTCTTCCTTCAGCTTGAAGAGCTCTCTAGCAGATTCTAGTTGGGTCTTTTGTTGGGCCAAGTGCATAGCGAGCAAAGACTGCACGAGAAATAAGCAAGTGTTGAGAGTTTCCTTAAAAGGAATAGAATATGGAAAAAGTCCTCGACGAGGACAAACCGTATTACCTAACTTTACTGTTGGATGGCCCGAATCATCAGGTCCGCAAGATTGGAGGCCACAAGCTCTTCAAAAAATTTGGCGATCTGGCACTCCAGAAGAGTGTATACCACCAGCTGCAGATGCTCTAGGAGCTGACCTATGGAGTCCAGCACCGGAGTGTTAGTAGAGGGTACCTCGCTAGCTAGCCCCTTGCCTTTTTTCTTCCAGGCAGTTGCGACGTGTCCTCTATGCAAGTGACTTGGGTGAATTGTAACCCCGGTAGCGCGCCTCTAGCTCCCTCTGGTTCAACCAACTTGATAAGGCTGCGACCTCTCAAGCTACACCCCGAAGCCCTCCGGCTCAGACTTTGACTCCTCTGGCTATAGCACCCTTCTCTTTTTGGTCTTTTGACCTATAGTTTTCTGTTTTGGGCGAGCAGCCGTGGGCTGAGAGGCTTCGGTTGGTTGTTTGGTGGGTGGTTACACCTCCAGTTGCGCTCCTTTGGCATGAGGGTCACTAAAGCTTGCCTCAGCTGGTCCCATGGCGCCGACTCAGGGAAAGACGAACGCTCTCTTCGGTACTCTGGGCAGCATGGTCGCTACATGCAGATACTGTTGGTAAGAATTTTCGCTACATGCAAAAGCAAAAACTTGAAAAAACTACGAACACTTATGAAGTGGGGGTTCCAAGGTCGCTTCGGGGCTGAAGAAGTCATACTTCCTTAAGTTCACAGTTGTCACGAGTCATTTGACGTCATGACTGTTAGAATAAGAAGGACTAAACTGCTAGCAGTCAAAAGATTGGGGCTTATTTGCAATATTACTGAAACGATGACGTTTCAGTAATCTGCAGTCTTTCTTTTAAGCTGAATCGTGTTATTGTCTTCAGTAGTCTTCAATCTTCAATCAGTTCTCTCTTCTCTGTGTAAGCTCACTGTATAAAAAAGGGGCTTTTCATTGTAACACAAATTTTTAAATGAAATGCATAGATTCAGTTTTGATTAGTTTTTCTCTCGATTATTCTCTGAGTTTTACATGGTATCAGAGCCAAGACTAGCGTCAAATGGCCAAAACTCCTGGTTCCTCTTCCTCAATCTTGCCTAATCGCATTGAGGAAATGCTTCGAGAAACACTCAGTCGCTCCAACTCTGCACTCGCTTCTAGTCTGCAAGTAATCAGTCCTAAGCTCACGCGTGACAACTACCGTTTTTAGAGTTCGCAGGTTTTGTTTGTTGTCGGCTCTCATGAGCTTGAAGATCATCTTCTAGGTAAAATTGCTTGCCCTCCACCTTTAATTCTTGCAGAATCATCAGTTGATAATGATCTAAATGAGCTCAAGGAAGATGTTAGGGTTAAATCTGATAAAATCAATCCAGACTATGTTATGTGGAAACGTACGGATAAGTTTCTAGTTAGTTGGTTACTAGCTTCTATATCAGAGAGTATGTTTGGTAATGTGTCAAAATGTAGATATTCAACTGAGGTTTGGAAAATTTTGAAGAATGAATTTGTTAATGATTCAAAAGCTCGTGCTTTACATCTTAAGAATTTGTTGCAAACCACACAGAAATGTAATCTAAGCATTGGAGATTACATTAAGAAAATGAAGGAGATAAGTGAGAGTTTGTCAGCTAGTGGCTTAATCATCTCAGATGAGGATTTACTGCAGTATGTTCTTGACGGTTTAGGACCAGAATATGATCCTGTAGTTGTAACTCTTACCTCTAGATTAGAGTCAAAGATTGATTCAGTTACACTTCAAGAAGCACAGTTTCTGCTTCAGAAGTATGAAATTCGATTGGAAAAATTCAACTCTATTGACCTATATAACAATTCTGCTCATTTGGCTGTCACAAATGCTGCTCATTTAGCTGTTGCAAATGTGTCTGGAAGTGNATTTTGTTGAATAAAGGAAAGAACCCCAAAATATCAAATTTTGGAATGGCTAAAGCTTTTACAAAAGATGAATTTGAAGCTAACACAGGCCGCATAGTTGGAACATAGTAAGTTGTTAACTTGCTTAAATTGATATGTGACACAGTATTTCAGTAAGTTTTCTTTGTTGAATAATGACATTTTCTTGCCTATGTTGAATTGCAGTGGCTATGTTCCTCCTGAATATGTAAGAAAAGGTATATACTCTATGAAGTATGATGTGTATAGTTACGGAGTTCTGCTTCTGCAAATCATAAGTGGCAAGAGGACCGCATGCTACTATGGCTCAAACAAAAATTTAACCCTTTTGGAATATGTAAGTCACTTTCTTTTGATGCTTCAAATCTCAACTTTAATCCATTAGCAGTTTTTCCTGTGAACGTTTGTGTTTTTTTTATAATGCAAACTTCGTGAGATGAGCCAGTAAATGGTTTATAATCGCCATTCAACATTGAAAAACGAAAATTTAGTCAAAATTTTTCATTTGAAACTTTAAACTGCAAAGCTTGGTAACATTTGAATTACTTTAGGGGTATGAGTTGTGGAGATAAGGTGAAGCTATGGAGTTTTTTGATTCATCATTGGATGACTCTTCTTCTCCATTGAAACTAAAGAGATGCATGCAAGTAGCTTTATTGTGTGTCCAGGAAAATCCTGTTGAAAGACCACCCATGCTCAGGGTTTATAACATGCTCAAAGGTGAGAGTGAAGACATCCCTTCTCCTAAAAAGCATGCTTTTTCAGTCAAAAGAGATGATGATGAGGATAGTAAATGCATCTTCAAGGTGAAAACATTTTTAGTCAATGATGCAATGCTTACTCAACCGGAACCACGATGAGTCGATGACTAATTCTGAAAGATATTGAAGTAATTGTAGATTCCTCATTAACTATGCTACTCAACGTGTAAACCACTACTGCAATTGCTCTTTATGTAGGGCAGATTGCAGGGTTCCTATGAAACACTTAGGTTTTTAATTTTTTTAATTTTTTGCATCCCTTGGTAACACTAAAGGGCATTGTTTACTTCTTTTACCCCCAAACTCTATATTGTAGAGTTAATTTTGTTCTACACTACTGTTCATAGCTAATTCCAATACTTTCTTTTAGTTTATCTGTTGTATGCACACAATCATCTTTAGGTTTATAAAGAGGATCGGTCACTCTACCTAATATTAATTAATTGTTAACATTTTCGGATGGATATCCGATTCATGGAATATACGATTGATGTGGTTATTAAACAAGAATGTTGATGTCACTTTCTGTCTCGAGGGTTTCATCCAATTCACCTTGGTGGTGTTTGTTGTGGTTGGGTAGCCAGAGAATTTTGTTGCGATTGTTGTGGAGGTGAGGGCTTGCTATTATTTTTATTATTTGGTGGTGCAAGGTTCGGCTGGCCGGTTGGAGCAGCTTTGGGAGACCACTGCTGAGCGGAAACCAAAGCGGGCAACAACCACAAAAGTGGGGGAAAAAACAAAAACGAATTAACGTGCCATTTTTTTGGGATTTTGGAAAAGTTTTAAGATTTGTTTGGGTTTTTGTTTTTGAGAAAAAAAAGTTAAATGAGAGATAAAGAGTATCCTCAAGAATGCAGTAGTTCTCTAAATATAGAGTACTATGGAGACAAAGAATGAGATGAAAGGGAAATGGAAAAAGGGAATTTATATGATTAAAAGCGAGAAGAAGGGAATTTATAGGATTAAAATCCAATAAGAAAAACCGGTTAACCAGTTATAACTGAATTAGTATCTGATTCAAGTGGAAAACCAGTTCGGTTTTGGTTTGGTTTTTCATTCAAACCGAATTCCGGTTCAGTTCAAGAAAGTGCCAAACCAGTCCAGTTAACTGGATTTCACTACCCCTATGTATGACAATATATTGACCAAGAATGCTTCAAAGTATGACAATTTCAATTTTTCCTGTTCACTCCTCTCAATAGATGGTGGTAGTTATATGTAGCAGTCACCTCACAAAAATGTTTATAGCTATCGAGTATGATGTTTATAGCTATGCAGTGGCTATATTACCCTGAGTATACAAGAAAAGGTATATACTCCATGAAGTATGATGTTTCTGCTTCTGCAAATCATTAGTGGCAAGAAGACTGCATGCTATTGTGGCTCCTACAAAAATTTGAACCTTTTAGAATATGTAAGTTACCGGTCATTCTTTCCTGTAGACATCCTGATTTAAAAAAAATTAAAAAAAAAAAAAATTGTGATTTACTATAGCGAGAAACTTGGCCAAAGTCGAGTAACATTTAAGTTACTTAAGCGGTATGAATTATGGAAAGAAGGTGAAGTCATGGAGTTTTTCGATTTATCACTAGACGATTCGTCTTCTCCATGGATTGAAGAAATGCTTGCTAGTAGCTGTACTATGTATCTAGGAAAATCCTGCAGATAGACCAACCATGTTGTATGTTTATACGATGCTCAAAAGCGAAACTGCAACCATCCCAACTCCTAAAAGGCCTGCATTTTCAGTTAAAAGAGATGAAGATGAGGAAAGTAAATGTGCATTGAAGGTGAAAATTTGCTTAGTTCATGAGGCAACAATCAGCAAACTGGTAGCCAGATGACAATGTAGCCTCTCATGGTACATAACTAGAGAAGATACTAACATATTCTCGATCAATCACTAATCAAGTAGGCCTAATCTGTCCTAGAATACGATGGAAGCTGCCCTTGGAAAGTTGTAGATAATCACAAAATTTTCTTGAAAATGTAATGAGTGTTCTTACATTCAAGTGTTTATAGAAAATATTTTGTTTCTGGAATTCAGCCTATGCTCAATTTTCTATGGTGCGACAAGCTAAGAAGCCAATTCTATTCATCAGCCCTTTGTGAAATGTGACGCTATATTACATAAAAAGTTTTCTCGGTTCTATAAAGTTTGGACCATGAAAACATAGCCTTCTTTCAATTTATTTAAAGAAAGAAAATCCCTTTTGGGGAAACATACAGTGAAGTGGGGAAACATACAGTGAAGTGGATGGGTAGTTATTTTACGCATGACCCACCACAGGAAGCAGCCTTGGTGCCTTTACGTTTACGCAACTTCAACTTGAAAAAGAAACAAGAAAAACCTGGTTCAAGTTTTGCCACGTTTCTAAGTTCAAAAGCAAATATTAACTGAAGACAGCAAGCTTGTAGCCACAAAGAAATATTGAGCCATCCTCTATCAATCAATTGAGGCCAAACGACCCAAGGTTTTTCATAACGACAAATTGGCACCTAAAAGGTTTGAAAATGACAAACAAGTACCTTCCATCATGTGCATTTAGTGATTTCTGTTTGTTAATAGTGAAAAGACTAAAATGCCCTTGAAAGTTTGATATTTTAGTTTTTTATAAATTTAAAAATTTCTAAAAAACCACCTAGGTTTGCTAATCTAACTAAACACCCCCATATATAAAAAGTTTGTTAAATAACAAAAACACCCCTACCACCTACAGTGCCAGATTCTGGCTGCCACCACTGGAATCTGGCTGGAAATTGCGTTACGACACAGATCCGACTGGTCTGTGTTGTAACGCAATTTTCGGCTAGATTCCGCTGGTGGTGGTCGGAATCTGGCACTGTAGGTGATGGGGGTGTTTTTGTCATTTAACAAACTTTTTTATATATGTGGGTGTTTAGTTAGATTAGCAAACCTAGGTGGTTTTTTAGAAATTTTTAAATTTATAAAAAACTAAAATATCAAACTTTCAAGGGCATTTTAGTCTTTTCACTATTAACAAACAGAAATCACTAACAGCACATGACGGAAGGTACCTATTTGTCGCTTTTAAACCTTTTAGGTACCAATTTATTGTTACGGCAAACCTTGGGTCGTTCGGCCATCAATTGATGATGCTTTAATTAGTTTCTATAGCTGCCAAAAAGATATTTTAATGAAATTTTTATATTTTGGGGTTTTTAATATTTTCTAAACAACATGGATGAATTTAATAGTAAACGATCTCACGGGAAAGAAAATGAAATATAACCCTTATTTAAAAATTGTCTATTTATTTAACAGAACCTGTGACTTATTAATTTATTTGGATCCGAAGACAGTACACATTAGAATCTATGACCTTTGAGACCAAGTCATGTCACACCTATTTTCTGTATTTACTAATACTATAGCTCATCAGAAATTTAACAAGTTAGCATGTCTTGACAAGGAAGAGAAGCCAAATGACTTGACCCTGTCTCAAAATATTTTCTAATTGTTTTATACATGGCTAAAAATTCTAGGGAAGTATCTAGTAGCTTTGTTTATGGCAACAAAACATATGATCATCTTCCTCTTCTTTTTTATTATGTCTTGCCGGTTGAAGTTTTCTATTTCACAAAATTGGATCAAAGCTGGTTACTGGTATGCTAGTAGTGAATTTCCCATATCAGAAATAAATTCTGCCTTGTTTACTCACCTTATATGTGCTTTTGCCAATGTAGACTCTTCCACATACCAGCTCTCCATCCCATCTGCCAATGAACAATACTTCTCAAGCTTTACTGGTACCATCTTATGCAAAAGTCCATCAGTTACAACTCTTCTGTCAGTCTGGAATGGACATAATGTAACATGTCAATCCATATTAGGCAACAAAGTGAACTATTCAGTTCTATCTTCAATAGTTAGTGATTCTTCTCATTGGAAGTCTTTTATTGAATCTTCGATGAAAACCGCCAAGCGTTATGGATTTAAAGGGATTGATTTGTTCTGGCTGTGGCCTAACCAAAGTATGATTGAGTTGCTATTTGCTTAGATATGGATGACAATGGACACACGGCATTCCCTGCACATTATTAAGAATTGGGAAAAGATAACATTAATGCTCAGTTGACCTGAAGTCTTTCTAACAAACAGTTGTGGTTCTATGGCCAAAATCAAGGCGTATTAACCCTAGGTTCATGCAGTGTGGAGAAGGGCAAGAGGTATTAATTTAGTACCAACTCTTAGTTGACTCGAAGAATGTCATGCCCCCTCCCGAGTATCCTTATCCCACCAGATCCGGGCGCTCCAGGAGACTCAAGATCCCGAAAGGAAGGTGAATACTCTATATATATATAAAAAAGTTCATAAAAATAATTCTATTTATAGACGAAAGTGAAAAGTAGTGCACTTGCATGTTTAACATTTAGAAAGCGGAAATACATAAAATAATTATTCTAACAGCGAGAACTGAAAATCTGGTTACAAAAAGAAACGTAGTATCAGAGTCCACTAAAGTTTGTAAAAGATGCAGATCATCATGCGTCAAGGCCAACCTAGAGCGTAGAGTATGCTCCACACGAACCCGATCTACGATCCTGGGGGAGGAAACATAAAACAGTGAGCTGGGAAGCCCAGTGAGCGGATAATATATTTTATACGAAAATAACTTTAACCTTGAAAACATGCATGAATAATCCAGTTGCATGCCACACAACACTAATGCACTTATATGATAAGGCAACAAACATCATATAGTATTCTCGGTTGCCATGAAATCACACACCACTATCATATAAAATAAATCAATTATCACCACCCTACTAGCACTTAGGGACTTGGATCATGGACTAGGGGACACCAGCCCCTAACTCAGACATGAAACTACCCCACCCGCAACTACCCTGAGATGGTACGAACATCACTGGATAACCATGCTCGACCCAGTCTACCCTCGGGGCATTAGATATGGTATATATAATCTCGCCCACGGTACCCTCGGGCTCCAAAATCCCACACTCGCCAATAACGCCTGTGTAATCCACCGACTCATTAGGCTCCGTCTTGTCCTAGTAGGATATCCCAATCTTGATAGGACATACCATCTCAATGTGGCTATGAGGATAATATCAAATACTAGCTGATGGAGGGATGGGTAGGTTTCCAATCGGAGTCAAACATAATAAAATCATGCATCCACAATTTCATTCAAATATGCATCATGCATGCCTTATGCATATATAAAGTATAATATGATATAAAATTTCAAAAAAAAGGCATGAATCATGAATGCAATGCTCACCACTCAAAATAAAAAGTGTAAAATCTATTTACACCCTATATTTTATCATATAAGGTCCAAAACTTCTAAACATGACAATAACCCCCTGTTGCCAAGAGCCTTACTACCCATAAGAAAAAAAAATCTAACATTTTTATTCCACACTTTTTCAATTTCCAAAATAAAATGTACCTTATAGTATTTAATATTCCTTAACTTCATATCCATTCCACCTTTTTAACAACTTCCA